TGCAGGTTGACTGACTCTCAATGATCCCAGCAATGTAGCTGATTGTCTAGCAACGACCCAGCTGCCCTTGCAGAGGACAGGCCCATAACCCTTATCTTTATTTCTGGCGCGTGCATGTACCTCCAGACATGCTGTCTTTGGGCGTCTCCTGGCTGACCTGAAGAACTGCCCTCTTAACTCCGTTCCACTCCTCCATTGGCTCTGGACTCCTATCTCTGCCTTTGAAATTTGTACGATTTTTTTTTTTTAACGGGACCCAGCACAATGCCCAACTCCTAACAAGCCCCAATAAATGTTAGTCTTGTCTCTGTCAGAAATCTGGCAGGTTACATCGTCACTTCTCTACCTGTTCCCTGGCCTCTGCTGCCCCCTGGTGACAGCATGAGGCTTTGCCACCGCATGACTGGGAGTCAGATTTCTGTGACTGAAAAATTTCAGCACTTTTTCCACGTTCCTTGTTCTCCTAACTTACTGTTTTGTCTCATCTACTGTCTTTGAGAGGAAGCTGGAGCCATATACATGAATTTTCCAGATCTAACTTTCTATAAAGATATAATGGCTGCAAAAAAAATTGACAGTTTTGTTTGTTTGTTTTTACTGCTAGGTAGTTAACAGTACAATGGGTTACTTTTATCTATTAAGGGTGAATGTGAAGTTTGGAAAATGCCAGGACTCTCATCTTCACTCCACTTCAAACACCTTATCACCTTCAACAGGAAAAGAAAAAGTGATAAGAAAAAGAACCAAGAATAGTGCTTTGGCAAAAAGATCAACTTGGGAGCCTGTCTTCATTTAGGTTCCCTAAAAAGCAAACCTTAAAACAAGAATATGGATGCAAGTCATTTATTTGGAAGACAATTGCAGAAATAAGGAGTGAGAGATTGGGAAGGATTTGAAAGTGGAGGATCCTTATAAGAATGAGTATCTGAGGTTCTTGTACAGATTCTGCAGGGGCATCTTGAGAAGCAGACACCTGCCAGAATTGTCCACCTATAGGACAAGAGGCTGAAACATTTATCCACCAGCTTCCTCTCCTTTTGGTTGAGCATTGATGTCAACTCCCTCCTCTCTTGGGCTGTCCCAGCATGCAAGCCAACCAGATTCACTGGCTTTGAGAAAGGTCCTGAAACAAAAGCAGAAAGATGCATATGTGCAAGTGAGATGCAGTCAGTGCAAGCTGAGAGTGAGCTTGCTAGGAACTATCCACCAGAACTGTGGCTGAAGTCACACAGAACCTTCTACCACAACTGAGGTTAAGACCAGAGGTGGGCCAAAGGGGTATGACAAGTGTCTGCTACAGACTCCAAAAGGCTACACCCTTAATGGAAGGGCAAACTAGAAATAAAACCACCTTCCCAGGGCACTGCAAGTAAAATTACCTGCACTGAGTAGAGAAAACTCTTTTGGGAATATAGAACTACAAGTGTAGCCCTCATGGGGGTGTTAAGCCTGAATTCATGCACACTGGGTGGTTTAAAACACCTTAAGTCAAAGTATCCCCAGCTGGTGGCACCACAAGACTTTAAGAAGAAGTACTTAAAAATTTTGGTGGAAAAAAATGCAGCTTCAATCCAGGCCTCACAAAGTTCCCACAGATAAAATTCCACGGACTATAAGCTCACAATAAATAAATTAAAACACACAAGGAAAGAAGGCACCATGAGTAAACGCTGATAAAAAAAACATGCAACAAATACATCCACAAAGACACCAGACTTAGGTGCTATGAGCTGTGCTAGATATCTGCCATTTGCAATCCAGATTCTCTCTCCCTATCTTTCCCCATCCCACTCAGTACCCTGCGAGGCTCGTCTGTGTGAACTGCATCAGTGTGTTGTTTATTGGCTGTTGGTTGTTCTGCAAATACAGGCACTAGCAAGAGACTGGTGGTCCAAGTGTTTATTCCTGTAGCTCTTTAATTTCTTTCAGCAAGGTTTTGTATTTTTCATTGTGTAAGTCTTTTCATCGACTTGGTTATATTTCTTCCTAAATATTTTATTCTTTTGGCTGCTATGGTAAATAGAATTGTTTTCTTGATTTCCTTTTCTATTTTTGAAAGAGTTTGAGAAAGATTAGTGTTAATTCATTTTTAAATGTTTTGTAGAATTCACCAGTGAAACCATCTGGTCTGAACTTTTCCTTTGGGCAGAAGGTTTTAATTACTGAATCAATCTCTTTACTTGTTATAGGTCTGTTCAGATTTTCTATTTCTTCTTGAATCAGGTTGTTTCTGTGTGTCTAGGAATTTTTGTATCTCATCTTGCTTATCTAATTGATTGGTGTACAATTGTTCATGTATTGTCTTATTTCTTTTTTTATTATTGTGCAAAGAACACTTACCATGAGATCTACCCTGTTGACGATTTTTAAAGTGTACAGTATATTATCATTGACTGGAGGTATTGTTGCACAGCAGATCTCTGTTAATGTGGTGTGTTATATAAATTGATTTTCATATATTGAACTATTCTTGCATCCTGGGAATAAATCCCACTTGGTCATGGTGTGTGATCCTTTCAAAGTATTGTTAGATTTGGTTTGCTAGTATTTTGCTAAGAATTTTTGGCATCTATATTCATCACAGATGTTGGTTTGTAGTTTTTTGGTGGTATCTTTGTCTGGCTTTAGTATCAGGGTAATGCTGAGTTTATAAAATGTTCTCTCCTCTTCAATTTTTTTGCAAGAGTATAATAAGGATGGTGTTAATTCATTTTAAAATGTTTAGTAGAATTCACTAGTTAAGCCATCTGCCCTGGGCTTTTCTTTGTTGGGAGGTTTTTGATAACTGATTCAATCTCCCTTACTAATTATGGATCTGTTCAGACTTTCTATTTCTTAATGATTTATTCCTGGTAGGCTATATATTTCTAGGAATTTATCTGTTTCTTATAGGTTATCAGTTTGTTGACATATAATAGCCATCATAGTCTCTTCTGATCCTTTTTCTTTCTTTTTTCCCCCCCTCTCACCCAAATATAAAGGGTTTATTCGCTTCTGCCGTCAGGAGCACAAAATACGAAATAGAAAGCGCACAACCCCCTTACCCCTTCAACAGTTCCTCAGCGTGGACACTGGCAAGGTTGTCCAGGCAGGGCTGCCGTCCACTCCCGGCCCTCAGGCCTCGAACACAGCACAGCTGGCGCAGAACACCTTTTCGGAAGGTCACTGCGGTTCACCAGGGCGCACACCGTGCAAGCCACGCCCCGCAGCCGCAGCCAGAGCGCACGCAGCGCACGCACGAGCGCGCTCACACTGGCCGCACGTAGCCTTCCGGTCCACGGCTCGCACGCTCTCAACAAGCAGGCTCTCGACGCTCCCTGGCCGGGTCAGATTCGTTGGCCAGGTCTTGGCTCCCGGCCAGTTGGCCGTGGGGGCTTGGTCAGCATCTCCCCACGCGTGGCCCGAGGGCTTCTGTGGGGCCAGGCTTCGGGGACTCCAGCGTGTTAACGGTGGCAGACTTGCTCCCACGCGTGGATCATGTAGGCCTGCGCCTCGCGGAAGAGGAGCTGCGTGGCCTTCTTGAAGATCTCCCACATGAGGCGCTCGGCGCACACGCAGCGGCTCAGCTCCCGCTGGCCCACGGGCACCTGCAGTTCAATCAGCTCGCCCGCTGATTCTTTTTATTTCTTGACATCGATAGTAATTGTCTTTAATTTATGGCTTTATTTATTTGAATTTTCCCCTTTTGTCTTAGGCTAAGGATTTATAGAGTTTGTCTATCTTTTCTTAAAAAAAACTTTTCACTGATATTTTTCTATTATTTTTCAATTTTCTATTTAATTTGTTTTTCTACTTTAATATTTGTTACTTCCTTTCTTCTAACTTTGGGCTAATTTTTTTTCTAGTTCCTTGAAGTGTAAAGTTTGATTGTTTATTTGAGATCTTTCTTCTCTTTTATGTAGGTATTTATTGCTATGACCATCCCTCTCAGCACTGATTTTGCTGCATCCCCTGCTGTTTGGTATGTTTTGGTATGTTGTATTTCATTTTCGTCTGTCTCAAGGTATTTTCTAATTTTCTTTCGATTTTTTCCATGACAGAATGGTTGTTCAAGAGTTGTTTAATTTCTACACATTTATGAATTTTCCAGTTTCCCTTCTGCTATTGATCTCTAGTGTCAGTCCACTGTGGTCAGAAAAGATACTTGATATGAGTTCAATCTTCTTAAATTTGTTAATAGATTTTGCGACCTAACTTGTGATCTGTCCTGAGCAGAATAGAAGCTGCTTCTTGCTCCAAAATTTCATGCTTCATACTTGCCCATGGAATCTGGCTGAGGCTAGTCTCCACTGAGACCACATCTTTGTTTAGCTTTTCGCCCCCCACCTCCCATCTCCCTACCATGTCCTACCCTCTGTCCTGAGAGCCTTCCTTCAATAAATCACATGCACCAGATTCTCTTTCTCAGCCTCTGCTTCTAGGAAACCTGACCTAAGATGATAAGAAAACTGATGATGCATTAAATGGAGAACAAGAGCAGGGGGAAATAAATGAAGACACAAACATCCTGGACATCATCTACTCAGGTCTTCCGTGTCTACAAAGTCTACTTTGTATTGGATTGTATATCCAATTCTGTCCTTTTAGAAGAAACAGTCTGATAAGTAAATGAGTGACGTTACTTAGACTTTCGAGCTGGGAACACAGTTAACTTTAATAAAATATGACTCACATCAAAACAGAAACTCTGGGATAACCTTAGAGAAGGAAGTTGAGGTTTTTTCTCTACTGAAGTGTTTTATCCTTCACTCCCTTCCCAAACTCACAATGTTTTCAATTGCAGAGAGACAGAGAACTTTTTCTCCAGCTCTCAGTTTTCTTGCTCATCTAACCTTTCCCACCCTGTGTCCTGGTTATAGTAGGTTCCTGGGACCTTATTATTTTCTGAATCCCCAGCCCCAAGCAGAGGCCCTGGCACCGGGAGTACGCGATAAATAATTGCTGAGAGAATCTGGGAAGGCGGAGGCGAGTGTGGAAAGGGTGGGAGGAGAACACCAAGAGGAAAGAATGACCCTTTGCCCTGAACCACCTGGAAGAGGGTTCTATGGAACCAGGACACCCTGAGCCTGGGCGTTGGCTGCAAGAGCCCTGTGAAAGCCCCGAGGAGGCGTGTGAGGAGGCGTGTCAAGACTTCCCTGCCCACGTCCCAGCCGTTTAGAGGGCTCAGGACCAAACAGCTGCCCAACAAGCTGATTGGAGGGAAGGGGGACCGTGTAGGGGCGGAGCTCAGATACACGAGCAGAATCCGGCTTCTCTTCAGAAGGATTCCACCGCCTTTTTGCGGCTGGCATCGGGTCTAGACCCGCGCGGCCAGCGGGAACGCAGGGTGTAGGGGCACAGAGGTCAGGAAGTGCAGGGACGTGGCACCTCCCCAGGGTCTCCCATTCGCAGATTTATCCCCTCAGAGGAAGGTAGTCGTCGGAGAAGTCGAAGTGTCTTCCTGGAACTGGGCACGGGACAGATTGGACGCCCTCGAGAGGAACGAGGGTGAGTCTGGGATCGTCACGGGGCGCGCGCGCGCGGTGCCCAGAGGCGGCAGGACAGAGGGGAGGAGCCGGATTCCTGAGCAGTGAGGGGAGAGCCGGGTAGCAGATGGAGGTGACCCACAGTCACATTTCCTGGAACTCAGCACCGAGTTGGTTTCCTTTCCAGCGCTCTGAGGGTGGAGCCGCCCGCGCGGGTCTCTGCTTTCTACAAAAGAAGACGGGGAATAGAGGTGGGATCCGGGTGGGGGTCGTGGAAGGGCCTTGGGAACCCGGCTCAGAAGAATTGTCCGAGCAACCCTAAACAGACAACTCAAGGCAATCAGTGGGAAAATTGCCAAGAGAGATGATTCCAGAGCTTGATGAATGCCCTCTTCCTTTTCCCGGGCCCATTTTAGTTACAAGGAGAGTAACCCGACGTAAAATGTCTGATCAGAAAAGATTAGCTTGATGCCATCTTTTTGGAGAAGAGGAAATGGCATTAGAGTTCTTTACGGATTTAATATTGCTGCTACCATTTTAAGATTTTTCACTTACGAAATGAGTAACTTTTCCTCCTCATAGTTTTCCTGCAAGTAAGGTATGAACATATTATTATCAGGATTGTTAACAGTTTTGCGTATTATAAATAGCACCTCAATAAACATGTTAGTATCCAACTAATTATATACATATGAGCTTTTCTTTTTTTTATATGAGCTTTTCTACAGCACCAGTTCCTAGAAATTCACATTGTCGAGTCACAGTATGTATTTATTTGTATTCCTTTTCATCCTTTTGATATCTTTATCATATAGTTAATAAGCCCTAAGCAGTTTTATTTATTAGAATTTTAATATCTTATAGGTAAGTCCCTTTTTTGTTATAAAAATACTGTTTATCCCTACTAATTCCCCTTTCAAATGAACTTTAGGATTATTTAGTTTCAATACCAAAATATACCTTTAAGAGTTTTATTGGAACTGCATTAAATTGGATTTATTTTTGTAAAGGATTGCCAGGTTTGTCATTTTTAATTTCCAGCCAGAAATACAACAATTCTCCCCATTTCTTCAAGCTTTATTTTTGTGGTTTTCTTCATACCATGCCATCACTTTTCTTGTAAAATGTTCTAAATTGTCACTTTGATGAGTGGGATATTTTTCCCATTATCTTTTCTGATTAGTTGTTGCTGAGATACGGCTTTTTTGATGAGGCTGATAATAAGATAACTGAAGCTTAGAGCTATGAAGCTGAAATCCTCAAGGTTCCTTGAGCAACACTTTCACATCTGCTTCTGTCTCCAGTGGACCAGAGAAAATTATAGAGTTCATTGCCCTCACAAGTCCCAAGAAATGGCCTTGAAGCTATCTGCTTAGCAACTGGGAAAAGCTAGGTAGCCTTAGACCCAATGAGTCTTTTTAGGCATGCCCTAACACCTGTTACTTCCCTTGCCAGCTCAGTTTAACTCTAAAGCAACAAAAACAAAAATGTAGCAATTAGTTGATTATTTGATTTCACTTATGGTAGTTTCTTCTTACTCATGCATTTAAGCCACATTTGGGTTCCAAGCTAATTACCTTCTTCAAATTGGTAATAGGAGTCCTACCTATTTCATTAAATTGTTGAGATTAATTTTGTTTAAAAGTACTTTGGAAACTGTTTCCATGACCTTGTACTTATTTAAATGCAACCTTTTACAACCTCAGTACAGTACCTCCATGTATAAAATGAAGATAACCACAGTGAGCTCATGGTTCCAAAGCACTTAGCCCATAGTAGGTGAAGAGAGAGATTTGTGACCATCGTTTTTGTCATCATTCGTTACTGAACCAAGGTGCCTTTGGTTGCAAGAGCAAACATCATCCAACTGGCTTAAACAATAAGGAAGTGTTGGTTCATGAAACCTGTAGCTGAGAAAAGGGGTAGACTTCAGGGTCAGTTCAAACCAGTGGTTCAATGTTGTCATCAAAAATTCAGATTCTTGTCTTCTTTCCATTCTGCCATCTGTAGGTTAGCCTCATTCCATGGCTTTAGAATCAGCGCTCCATTCTTTCTCACTCATATTCAGAGAGAAAGAGAGATGGAGAGAGAGAGACTGAGAATTAGAAGCTGGCTTTCTGGGCTGTCTTAGGAGAGCCAGGAAGCTCCCCAGTAAACATTCCCCTCAAATTAGCTCAGGTGCCCAGTTTTGAACCAAGCATTGTGATAGGCTATTTGAAATTGTCTGATGGCTTACAGCAAGATTTTTCAACCCCTACACTGTTGACGTTTGGGCTGAATAGTTTTTCTGCAGGGAGCAGGGAGCACTGTCAGCACCCTGACCTCACCTGCTAGATGTCAGTAACACCCAACCTCCAGTTGTGGCAACCAAAAATGTCTCCAGACATTGCCAAAAATCCTCTGAGGGGCAAAATCACCTTCACTTGAGAATCACCAGCTTAGACACATCAAGTCTCATCCATGGAACCAAGGCTGGGGCCAGCTCCCCACAAACTCATTGCTGAATGGGGGAAGAGCAGATAGCCACAGAAAATCTGGCAGCAATAGGAAGTAGATAAATGAATGTTGTATAGGCAATGCAAATGTCCACCACAATTCCTCTGGGCCTAGAAAATCTGAGTCTTTAGTACAAATACCTCTGAGGTAGGGCAGCACTTAAAACATGATATCTTACTGATGCATTGGCCAATAAGGAGGCCAGAACAAATTAACAGCTTGCAAAAACAAAACAGAGAGGGCCGGGGGTTGAGGACTAGGGAGGCAGGGGTACTCAAGCATTGGGAAAAGAAACAGAAAGGAAAATTTGAGATTAACAACTTCTCAGTAGCTAACTTCTGTTACAATCTTGAATATCTTTAGCTGACTGTGGCCAAGGTTGTAAACTGAGGCTTCATGGGCAATAACCAGTTGGCAAGTATGTTTTACTTGACCCACACAGTATTGGACTGCACAGTTTTTAAGACATTTTTTTGACTGAGTTGCAAGATTTTACATTGAGAGATTTACCATAAGAATCCAGATTTCTGACTGCTCTTTAAAACCTGAGTGATCATCCACCACTGAGCCCTTTATCCTTGAAGAACAGCAGTTGGTGACTTATTAGGTAATCTTTGTCTTTTTTAGACAGGGCCATCCTATAGTCACCCCTATACTTTGGCAGGATATATTTGTTAGAATAAGCTGAACTGCTGTAACAAATAGCCTTCCAAATATAGTGGTTCAAATGCAATGAAGTTTACTCTTTGTTCACTTAACAGTCCATGGAAGATGTTCTCTTGGAGGAGAGCAGCTCTCCTCCAAGTGATGATTCAGGGATCCAGAATTCCTCCTTCTTGGGGCTCCACCACACCTAGGGCCACATCATCCTATGCATCCAGCTGACTCTGTGTGGAGGAGGCAAACCTGCCTCAGCCAAAAGTAGCACATATGATATCCACTCACCTCATTGGTAAGAACTAGTCACATGGCCACATCAAGCCACAAGGAAGGCTGGGAGATGTAGTCCTAGCTGGGCTGACACTTCCCAGCTACAGCTCTGTTACTGTGGAATATTTTGGTGGACAGCAAGCCATTTCTACCTTACATGGAAATGATGTAGAGCCCTCTTCAGCCATTTAAAATTTTTGTTGTTGTTGAAGTATAGTCAGTGTGTAATGTTGTGTCAATTTTTGGTGTACAGCATAATGTTTCAGTCATATATGTACATACATATATTCTTTTTCACATTTTTCTTCATTATAGGTTACTATAAGATACTTAATATAGTTCCTTGTGCTATATAGTAGAAGAAACTTGTTGTTTATCTATTTTATATGTAGTAGTTAGTATGTGCAATCTCAAACTCCCAGTTTATTGCTTCCCACCTCCTTTTGTTTGTTATAACCATAAGTTTGTTTTCTGTGTCTGTGAGTCTGTTTCTGTTTTATAAGTAAATTCATGTGTATCATTCTTTTAGATTCCACGTGTAAGCAATATCATATGGTATTTTTCTCTCTCTTTCTGGCTTACTTCACTTAGAATGACTGATGACTTCCAGGTCCATCCATGTTGCTGGAAATGGCATTATTTTATTCTTTTTATGTCTGAGTAGTATTCTATTGTGTGTGTGTGTGTGTGTGTGTATATATATATATAATATACCACAACTTCTTTATCCAGTCATCTTTTGATGGACATTTGGATTGTTTTCATGTCTTGGCTATTGTAAATAGTGCTGCTATGAACACTGGGGTGCATATATCTTTTCTAGTTAGAGTTTCCTCTGGATATATGCCCAGAAATGGGATTACTGGATCATATGGTAAGTTTATTTTTATTTTTTTAAGGAATCTCCATACTGTTTTCCATAAGGGCTCTCTTCAGCCATTTAAATCACAGATGCCCTTGATGGTCCCCTAACCCAGTAGTAAATATGCAGGAGATTCTGGGACTTAAACAGTTTCCATCAGTTTCTTCCAGGTATGGATCAGTTGGGGCAGATCATCTCCTTAGGCCAGCTTATCTACAAACAGACTGAAGAGATGAAATACTGCCAGAAACAGTGCCAGCGTCTAGGGAACCGTGTCCACGGCCTCCTGCAGCCTCTGCAGATGCTCCAGGCCCAAGGAGAGAGGAACCTGTCCCCCCAGATAACCATTGCCCTGAGCCATTTTCAGGCTGCCCTAGAGGAAGCTAAGGAACTAATAGATAAATTCAGCAATAAATCCAATATCCAGAAGTTTCTAACTGCAGGGCAGAACAGAATACTCTTTAGTGGAGTGAACAAGAGTCTGAGAGATGCCTGGGAGGAGCTCTCACTGCTGCTTCAGGTGCATCAATGGAGGCATACTTCAAGCATCAGCCCAGGAGCAGCCTGGCAACAGGAGGATCAGCAGGATGCAGAGGAAGACAGGCAAGCTATCGAAAGACTGAGAAGTGGTAAGATTTTTTTTTTTTGGTGGAGGGAGTGTGGGTGGGGGCATTTTAATCTTATTTCGGTTTTCCAAAGGACCAGGAAGACTGAAGAGATTTTAGCAAGTATCTATTCGTATGACTCAGACTCCTGACATCGCTAGACCCAGATATGATGGGGGCTGGAGAAATCTGGGCAAGCCATCATAAGCGGGGATGCGGGGCGGGGGTATACTTATGAGTCTTCTTTTCCTTTCAATTCTCTTTAATGTCAATCTGGAAGCTAATCCCTTCTAGCCCTGGTTTTACCAGGACCTTCAATGACTATGCCAGTTATCTAGGAAGAAGAATTCAGTAATCAACTAAACAAACATGAATTGAGTATCTACTGTGTGCCAGGCACTGTGCTGAGTGCAAGATATACAGAGCAAAATAGACATCTTTGCCTTCATGGAACGTGAAGCCTGCAGATAGAGGGCTAACTAAATTATTTTATCTAAGGGCAGTGGTACATATGGTAGTGAGATGGAAAGTGAGAGTAGATGCAGAGAGAGTGGTCAGGGAAAGCCTCTCTAACTGGGTGACATGACATTTGAATGGACACTTTGAATGATGAGAAGGAACAAGTCATGTGAAGATGAGGGAGACGAGCATTCCAGGCAGAGAAAACAGTGAATGCAGAGGCTCTGAGGTGGGAATAAATATGGGATGTCCAGGATGGCTTTAGTGTGGTGGGCAAGGGAGAGTGGTATCAGATTAAAGTGGGGAAGTAGGCCAGAAGATACAGGAGCAAGGTCATGCAAAGCCTTGTAGGCATGATAAGAATTTTAGATTTTATTCTAAGAGTCATAGGAAGACAGTGATTGGAGGTTCTTATATGTGAGCCTGTTATGATTTGATTTGTATGAAAATAAAATCACCCAGGCTGCCATGTGGCAAATGGATATGTATTAGTCAGTTACTGCTGCACTAATGCTGCATAACAAACCATACCAAAACTCAGAGGCTTAAAAAACAGTATTCTTAATTCTCTTGCTCACAGATCTGTGGATCTGCTGGGGTTCACCTGAACTCATGTGAGCTTGGCTGGGCTGGGCTCTAGGCACCAGGTCCATCTTAAGTCTGTTCCATGTGTCTCATTCTGGAGCCAAGACTGAAGCAGCAATGAGTACCTGGAGAATGTCCTTTTCGAAGCAGAATTGTAAGAAGGCAAGCTCAACTGTGCCAGCACATTTCAAGCCTCTATTTGTATCGCATCCATTAACATCCAAAGCAAGTCATAGAGCCAAGCCCAACATGAAGGGACAGGGAGGGTGGTGTGCCCACTAAGAGGCTATGGCCTGGGTGATACTACTGTGTGGTAGGGAAGAATTGGGACCAATAACTCAACATACCCTGGGGGGCAAGAGTGGAAGTGTACCCCAATTAGGAGACCACTTTACAGGCTATGTAAGAGCTGATGGTGGCTTGAACTAGAGTGGCCTGAGTTGGACTTAGTAGAGGGCAGGGCTCTAAGGGGATGAGACATAGGCTAGGTTGGAGGGGGATGACAGTGAAAGCAAGGACCACCAGGAGAGGGAAGAGGGGGATGGGATGGAAACAAATGAGACCTCTTTACCCTACTGCAGATCCTGGTGATATGAATTCCAAATCCTTCCCTCTTGTTAGGATTGTGGGTGGAGAGAGAGAGGAATTGAAGAGAGGGTGAAGAGCGTTTGGATGAACATTCCAGCCACTGGAACTCAGAAGAATAACTGTTCTGCCACCTGGATGTGGGGGGCGGTCCATCCCCAATCAGGTTGGCAGGAGACACTTAAACAGGACCAGCCAGATCTGGAGGAGACCTGTGGACAAAATGGGTTCAAAGAGAAAGAGAATCAGGAGCAGGGTTGGAGTGAGGTTGAGGCAATGTAGAGACTGATGCAGCTGCAGGGCAGGATTGGCCCCCAGCCTTCCTAATCTTCAGTGTTCATTGGTCCACTTTCAGGTGGAGGGAGGCACGTTGGTGTCATCAACTTAGGAAAGGATTTACTTCCTTCTCTCACTTTTCAATTTTGTAAAAACATTTTTATTAGGTAATACATTCACATAGTACAAAATTCAGGAGGTATGAAAAGGGCCTAGCATGAATATACCACACTGTCTTACCAGTTTCTTGAATAGCCTTCTGGAGATTTAAGTATATATATTTTACTGTTGTACAATCAGTAGCATACTAAACACACTGTTCTCCTTCTTGCTTTTTTCATTAAATAATGTTGAATATTCTTCCATATAAATGTCTGTAGAGTTGTCTGGTATTCTCTGGTGTACATGGACCAGATATATTTAAGCATCTCCCTATTGATGGGCATTTAAGTTGTGTCTGGCTTGTCACTATTGTAAATAGTCCTGCATTGAGCATCTTTGTATATATTTCAGAACATCTTTAGGGAAAATTCCCAGAAGTGGAGTTACTGGGTCTAATTGTTGGGTCAAAGAATATGGACATTTTAAATTTTGATAGAGGTTAGCCGACTACCCTCCACAGAGGTTTTAGAAATATCACTCCTATCAACAATGTATGAGATTGTCTGTTGAGACTTTCCTGGTTTTAGCACTGAAGGTCCTATGTCCTCAGAACTCCTTCATCTGAGGGAACCAGGATGGTTGGGCACCATATATAGTGTAGTGTCAATTTTAAAACATATTTCTAAATATATAAATCAGGATATAGGTCAGATTATACTGTGGTTCAAAAAAAAAAAACAATGTCTTAAAGAAATGACCATTTATTACTCATTCAGGGAAAGTCCAGGAGACTCCCCAAGTTAGATGTCCTCCTTCCAGGATGTTTCAATATTATGGCACTTTGATGTTGACACAAAGTTCCCTGAAATCTCTTTCCCTTCATTTTTCGGTCAAAGCAAGCCATACAGCCATGCTTCAAGGCACTTCCTGTGTGCTTAGAAGCAGAAAGTTGAATATTCATGAGCAATAATAATTCCTACTGCAGTGACTATGATAGATGAAAAAGGGTATCTCAGTGTGCTTTTAATTGGCATTTCTGTTTTGAAGTTGCTGCTCTTTTTCTTGCAGGAAATGAAATTATAGAAACTTTGAGGCAACTGGAAAACACCATGAAGGAAACCACTGAAACCGTGAGGAGCTGTGAGTTGTCACGTGCCCTGCTGCTTCTGGCTGCCCTGAACTAGAAGTCATTAGTTTGCTAGGAATTCCAGCCTCCCCTGTCCCTCTACCCTTTTCTATGCTGAATGGCTGGAAGCAGCCCCCAGGTTTGGGGATGTGCTCATCACCAGCCCAGGCTTCTGTCCACAAAGTGGCTTTTGAAGGGAACTTCTTGATCAGCAAGTTATCTTCTGTCATCTCTCAAAGTGCTGACAACTTCCTCTGATAGCATCCATGCTGAATTTCCAAGAAGAGATTCAGATCAAATTTAAAATGCTCATCCATTCTACAAATCTGTATCAGCTTTATGCCAGAACCTGTGTGCAGAGAAAACTAAGATGCAGTGAAAGAGCCTGCCTTCTGGAGATCCCAGCCATAGACTGAAGGAAGGGAGAGGAAAGAGAGACATGTGAACACATAACAGCAGTGGGATTACTGAGCTTGAACTATGTGTCCACCTATTAGGACTGAAATCACTAGTCAAAATGCTAAATGCTCTGGTGCCCATGCATCTGGTGCTCTGGCAGTAGTTGTAGAAAGAACTCCAAAATGAGGAAGATGGGTCAAGATGAGGGTATAGGCTAGAGAGAGGCAGGATTTGAAGAGGACAGAAAGGGAGTGGATGTCACACTTCTGTTAACCATCCAGCTGTGTCCCTACTGGTCACTCAGAGGCACTGGGACCTCTCTTCCAGGATGAGTCAGTCAGAAGCTCAGGCAGGGCTAGCTGTGGTTCATGGTGTAGGGCTTCCCACCCATGTGGTACTAAGATGCTTCTTCCCTTATGACACACACCCTCCTCAGCATATTGACTCTTTATATTTCTTTCTCTCCTAGGGATGAGGTCAGACTCACAGAAACCCAAGAATATCCTGGAAGATCAAATCAAGGAGATCAAGAAGGAGGAGCTTCCAGAAGCTGACTGGATCCTGCGAAGGGAAAATGAATTCAGCACACTTTATGAAGGGAAATACCACAAATCTCCAGTGGCCATAAAAGTCTTCAAACCCCGAGACATTGGGTAAGTCATTTTGTATGGTTCTCTCTACAACTCCCAAGGAGAGAGGCATATTCTCTCCATTTTTAAATGGGGAACCCAGGCCCCAAAGGTTTAAATGATTTGCTCTCTGCTATTAAGAACTTATTAAGACTTAAAGGCATGTCTTCCAACATCAATTCTAGAAACTTCTCTTGTTTATTCATGTATTTAGAGGTTTTTAAAGACATATTCCCTTTTATTCTTATTTCTTAGTTTCCCATCCTCTCCACAGACAGTAAAGTTTTTTGCTTGTATGTGTTCTTCCAAAATACATGTTGTTATTACATGTATATGCATTTTAAATGTTCACAATGGTAGAGTTATAGGTCTGCTGCCTACTTATCTTACCTTTCTCACTTGGCATCATGTAACACATACTGTGCTTGTTAGTCCTTTCCTTGTGACTGCAGTCCATGGTGTAGACCCACATGTTACCTATTTTTCCAGTGATGGAGCACAACCTGCTTCTAACATTCCCCCAACAAAAATAATGCCGCCATAAGTATCCCCTTATGGACCTGTATAGGAATTTCTTTGGGCTGTCTTAGCAGAAGAGGAACTGATGATCATAGGGTATGTGTATATTAAATTGACTAAGTACTACCAGGTTACTCTTCAGAACGGGTTGTATGTGCCTACCCTCTCACCAGCTCTCACCTCCAGGAAGTCTAATGATCCCTCTTGCCCCGTAGATACCCAGTTACCCAGGTGGTCCCAACACTAAATGTTCTCTGAAGTACCTCCCAGGCCTGAAATCCTAATTCCCCTTTTTATCCTCATAGAATAGTGAGGCATACTTTCAATAATGAAATCAGAACCATGAAGAAATTTGATTCCCCCAACATCCTGCGTATGTTTGGGATCTGCATCGATGAAACAGGTAAGGGGTGCTTCTAGGGTTGGGTGTGCCTCCAGTGGTCTGCGTAGATCTTCTGTGTTTTAATGCATTGCATTTTTAAAGAACAGCTGAAAGGGTGAAATCTACATGGTGTTTTTAGTATCAACACTAATTTTTTTCACATCCCAAAATGCAGGTTCCCATCTTCTTTCAGGAGAAGCAGGCTTGACGTTGGTTCAGCCTGAGGGCTGGTTTGCAGTAATGCAGCCACCTCTCCTTCTGCCAATTCACTGGGAACCAAGGAGATGCTTGTTCAGATGCTGGTCTTGGTGATGGCTGTGTTTTGTTGCAATAAAACCTTATAACGCTAACTGACCTAAGCAAGAAATCTAATCTTGATCATTAGTGTAGGTCAAATCTAAAACCTAAATTAACCTGCCCCTTTACCAAGAACCTCATGCATCAGGTTCATTTTAATTTTAATCTTTTTAATTTGGCTGCATTTCCTCTCACAGCATGGCCCCCCACTTGTTGGTTATGTTTTGCTGCTTTGTCTACAGAGAAGACAGAGTACCTCCTGTCTTGTCCCCTCTGAAAGTTTCTCCACAGCCTCAGGAGACCTGGTTTTGGAGCAGAAATTCTCCTTTAAAGGAAAACTTTCAGTGATGTTTATTCTCCTGGGTGACGGCTGAGGTGACTAACTTGGTGTGTGTTGGTTCTTGCATCTCAGGCCCGAGACTTGAGGCCTCAACTTCTTGCCTGAGCTGCTCCCACCAGCCTCTGCAGTCTGGGCCTCATTTCTTCCTGCCACATGTGTTCGCTAAGCTCTTAATGAGCACTGTATGAATAAAGCAGACCCTGCCCTCCTGGGATGTACAATTGAGTCGGAGAGACCTTATTCAAATAAGTAAGAGAAAGGTAGAATTAGGACATGCTAGATGCCACACAGAGGAGATATGGGGACTCGGTGGGTAAATGACCCATCCAAGGAGTCACACTGTGTGAGGTGGGGATGGAGGGTGGTGGAGAAATACAGCAGAGTCAAGTCTGTGTCTGTAGAGAGAGGGGCGGGGTGGGCTGCAGAGAGTCAGACCTATGAGTGGGGCTGACTGGTCATAGCGTTTGGCTTCTTTCCATCAGTGACCCCATCTCAGTTATCCATTGTCATGGAGTACTGTGAGCGCGGGACCTTGAGGGAACTGCTGGATAAGGAAAAGGACCTCACCCTCGCCATGCGCATCATCCTGGTCCTGGGGGCAGCCAGAGGCTTGTACAGGTACCAGGTGGGGGAGGGGCACCAAGAAGAACAGAGTGAGTCCATCTGCCCTGCCGATAGTCCCAGAGATAAGGAGAGAACAGGCTGGAAGCCCCAGATAGCTTTCCATTCCATGAATTGTTTTGCTAGTTACTCTGATGATAACACCTTAGACAGAAGAGGGAAAAACGAGGCTTAATCCAGCGAACACCAGCTCACAGAACTGAGGGTTAAATCTAACATCCAGGCTGCTCTTGTGGGGTTGGACAGGCCTTAGTCTCAAGGTTCTCAGATTTAGCAAAATAAAAATATAAGATGCCCAGTTAAATTTGAATTTCAGATAAACAATGAACAATTTTCTAGTATAAAGGTGTCCCAAATATTACATGAGACACACTTTTACTAAAATTTCAGATGTACAGAATTTCAGATAAACAGTAACACTTTTTTAGTAGAAGTATGTCCCATGTAATTTGGGGACATATTTATACTTTTAAAAAAGTCATTGATTTTTCCAAAATTCAAAATCAGTTGGGTGTCATGTATTTTATCTGGCTATTCTCACATGCAGCCTATGTTTCTTTTAGCCCAACATCAGTCACTCACAGACCACTTTCATGGTTGTTACCATATTCACAATAATGCCAATATTATTTATCTAATATTTTCCTTTCAATTAGCTCACTTTTTAAAAACCAAGAGAAAGTAAGAGGAAAGGACACTTTCTATTACTACCATAAATTGGAAACCAGAATCATTTACTACAAATAGGTGACCACAGATGAAACCAAAACAGTGTTATTAAATTCTGCCAAGATGATGCTGCTGGCTGAGAGGTCTGTAATTCAGATCCAAATTCTTTCTGCAGAAGAGATATTAGCAGATTTAGAGAGGTGTTAAAAACACTCAACAGCAAACTGAGACTTTCCCCTTAATGTAATCAGAAAACTGGAGTTAATTAAAAGAAAATTTTTTTTTTCACTTTGTCATCTTGCATATACCACTTACCCCATGCTTTTGGAAATCCTGCCTTAGCAATTTCTTGGAAATCATGAGGTTCATTTCTTCTCCTTACTCTAGAGGGTTTTATGAGAAGTAATTTTGGACTATGGGGGACACTGTTCATGCCTGTCCAGATGGCCTCTGGTCCTTTATACTAGCACTGCACACTCATGCCCCACTCAGCATTCTTTGCTGCTAACAGCTCAGTGCTTCCCTACCCACTCTGCCCAGTCCAGAGCTATTGAACAAAGTCCAGTTCCTTTACTTCATACAGAACAAACCCTGAGGGGTAATTATCCTTCAGAGGTTCCCATGGAATTAGGCTGAGTCTAGGACTCCACCCAAAGTTATATCCTTGCTTGATTTCTTCTCCTTCTCAGTCCTGCTTCCTCACCAGTTTCTCCTGGAAGTACCTTCCTAATCAATCACTTGTACCCAAATCCGTGTCTCATGATCTGCACCTGGGAGAACCCAAGCTAAAGCAGACTCTGTGATAACAACGCAAACTGAGAGGCAGGGGTTCCATTAATTCAAAGAACTGACCACTTACTAAGTTGGTAAGGACCCCAGCTTCACATATGTCCCAACCAGAAGGGTCCTAGACATGCTCCAGCAATCCAGCCACACCTCTGAGCACATTGCTCTGCTCAGTGCTTCCCACGCAGAGCACCGCAGTGGCATACAGCACCCACTTGTCAAATCTTGCCTCTGCCTCCCGGTTTTCCCAGCAATCCATGGATGGCTACCCATGAGGAAGACTTGGTACTGACCAGCCTCGTTATCCCCTTTGAGCGCTTCAAGAAAGTCTGTGCCAAGGTCACTAATGCTCCCTGCCTTTGGTCACGTCAGGCTGCACCATTCAGAAACGCCTGCAGAACTCCACAGAAACATCAGCAGCACGAGCTTCCTGGTGACTAAAGATTACAAAGTTAAGGTGAGTGTGGCCCTCTAGGGAGCCCTTTGAGTTCGACCAGTTTGACTGTTTGGTGCGGGGAGAGGGACGCATGTTTCCCAGAAAGGTGGTGCCTCCTTGTTTCTCCGCCTGAAACTTAGAACTGAACACAATGCTTCCCCTGTCTGGACAGCCTCCCGTGTGCCTAGCACAGGATGGACTCAATCCTGCCTGCTGTTCTGATGCCTGTCTTCCCTCACCGCCCACTCAGCAGGGATGGGCTAAGAGCCATTTCCCCTTAGATGCCAGGACACCACTTCTATGTCGCTGCGATACCCATAAGGGGATCTCCTTAGGTCCAACTAGGCATGCATACTCACAGACCTGTCACAGCCCACACTTGGCCCTTGGAGGCAATTAGATGTGTCATGCAGGAAACACAGCTTGCTGCAGGGCAGCATCAAATCCCTCTTTCCATTGGGAATCCTCACACCTGTCCCTGCAGTCCTCCAAGAGATATTTTCCTTGCCCTCAGCCCAGGTGCTTGAGAAAGAGGCTCCCCTGAGGTGCTTGCAGAGCCATCGGGCTTAGAAGCCTCATGACACACAGGAGTCAGTGTTCTTTTGTAACAACACTATAGGCAGGCCTTCAAGTGTCCCCACAAGGGGCATGCCAGCTATAAGAGTCACCACAAAGCCCAGCATCCCTATAGCTCTTTATAGTCCTCCTACCCCCTGACCTCTCATCTGCAACTTACTAATCGTCAGTCTTTTTTTTATTAGCAGCAAATTTCTTAGGAACATAGGTAACAGTCTGCTTGTGTCACATTCCCAGGGGAATAGAGCTAAAAGATTCACTGAAAGTCACATTCTCCTATGGGAAAGGAAAGGGTTTTATTAATGTGATGTCTGCAATTCCCAAATGCTAAAAGAATATTTTCTTTGTCATCCATAGATGGCTTTCTCTCTTCTAACCTTATGAGTGTCAGGGACAGCTGTTGAATAATAGAAGACAGGTGTTTTCTGCCTTTCAGACATCTTTCCCCATCACCGGTGTGATATATGTGCTCCCAAAACACTGTGTCTCCACCTCTCTCCCAGTCCTTATCCTGCCTGACTGTAACATGTGCTTTTCAGCCTTTCACCCCTGGTAACTAGCATGGTCCTGGATGTCAGTGCTCACTGAACATGTGAATGAAAGGAGGAGGAGCCACCTAAGTGTCTAATTCTTTTCCTGATCTTGCCCCTAGATTTGGGTACCTGGATGCATTAGGAGCTGGCAGCCCTCTGCATATAGATGGTGCGGATAACCAGTGTGTGTGGGGCAAGGAGAACATACACTCCCATGACTTGTGCTATGGCTTCCTTAAGAGCATGGCATTGGCCATGCAGAGTCAATGCAGTAACTCATGGTTGTCATGTAAAATCCAAAGGAACAGCCTGCCTGTAGGGTCAGATAGAACAGAAGAGATGCCCCCATGTCATTTTTTCGCCTGCTTCTGAGAGAAAGTGAGCCATCAGTGGCTCCAGGCACCCCTGTCCACCCTCACTCAGTGGAGTTGAGTCCTGAGAAAGCCTTGTATCTAACATAGTAATACTAGCACAACTACAACATACCGAGTTATACCAGTGCTTTATAACCATTATCTCAAATAATCCTCGTTGCCCCACTTTATAAAGAAGAAACCTTTTTGTGTTTCTCTTGGTCAGTGCATCATAATAAATCAAACGCAGAATGCCAACCAGTAGTCACACAGGCAGAAGACACCAGTGGAAATAGATCCCAAAGAAAAAAGACCATCCCCGACAGCCATGTGTAGCACCAACCCCTGCCCTCTCTACTGTTTCTTTCTTTCTCTGAATCACCTCTCTATCTAGCTTGCAGGATTTGAGTTGAGCAAAACACAGACTTCCATCAGCCGACAAACTAAAGGAAAAGAAGCAGAGAGGGTCAGTTCCGCCGCATACGTCTCACCTCAGAGACTAAAAAATGTGTATGATAAATATGACATAAAGGCTGAAATATACAGGTATGTTTATGTTCTCATGCAGATTCTAACTCAGATGAACAGGACAGGAAGGTCCACGTCCAACTCCACAAGGGAGGACCATCCTAACTCTGTTGAGTGAAATTGGGTGGTAATCAGAAAAATCACTGTATTTTCTGGAAATGGCTAGAGGGGCATTGGAAAAGGGAAACTTGTTACAGTTGTTCAGCTTCTTGGTTCTCTTTTAGCTTTGGAATCGTCCTCTGGGAAATCACCACTGGGAAGATCCCATTTGAAGGTAACCAGTGTGAAAGCTGGCTCAGATGGTGCTGAGGTTGCGTCCCCTTCCATAGACTGGAGGTTCCCATCAGTTCTGTCCTGGTTGCTTTGTTCTCCAATGTGAGCACTTCCTGGCCTCTACTTCCATTGGAGTCATTGGTAGCTCATATATCTTCACTTCTCACAGTTCCCTAGTTGTGATGCTAGCTAGCCATGAGCATCTAGAGAGATAGGTGAGTGCCAGAGCAGTTCTTAAGCCTCCCATCCTATTGTTTTCATGCCAGGCTGTGATTCCAAGAAGATCTACCAGCTAGTGGCTGTGAAGCGGTACCAGGAACCACTGGGTGAAGATTGTCCATTTCAGTTGCTGGAGATCATTGATGATTGCCGGGCATATGACCCCTCCAGGAGACCCTTTGTTAAAGGTAGGGTTCTTTTTGGTCTAAAGAGTGTGATCCACTTGTGTTACTTCATATGTGTGAAAGATTTCCCTTGTGTTTCACAACGAGGGGTAGTTTTGTCCTTCAGGGGACATTTGGCAGTGTTTAAAGACATTTTTGACTGTCACAACTCAGGAGATGGGGTGGGATGGGACATGCTGCTGGCATCTAGTGGGTAGAAGCTACTCAACATCCTATGATGCACTGGACAGCCCCTTACAGCAGAGATTGTCCAGCCCGGATATCAATAAATAGTACAGGAGTTCAGAAAGTCTGCCCTCAGGGCATTGTTTAGCCTAAAGTGGATTGGGAAGGCAGATTACTCCAGTTCTTTTTTTCTCCCATTTTTCCTTCCTTCCTTTCTTTTTTCAGCACTCTGGGGATAATTTCCTTTACTCAGACTTTTATTTCACCATGTTATCAGCTGCTCCTTCCATAGTTTCATTTTACCATCTCTCTCCCTGGGAATGTCTCCCTCTTCTGCTCTAGATCCAAATCTCTCAGACTTTTCACAGAGTTCCAGACATAAGAAGAGCATGGTTCACACACAGTATCCCTGAATTGGGAAAGTGTTTCCGCTGAAGTTGCTGCAGAGTTCAAAGATAAAAAATAATGTTTTTCTTCTCTTTCTTGTGATCTGTATCACAGTACAGCAATGTATAAAATACATTTTTGCATTTAAAAAAATCAAAGGAAACGAACATCACATACCCACTCCTGGTTAAGGAATAGAACATTGCCAACTAACTCAGAAACCACCTATGGATTCCTCACTTTCACATTCCTCTCCTTTCTTCCAGGAGTAACCACTGTCCTAAGTTTTTGGTAAAAAAATTTTTTTGGTAAAAGTATAGTTTTACAACTTAGGTACACTATATTATTTGGTTTCTCATGTATGAAGACTTTTTGTAAATGGTATCATGCTATATTCTACCATAACTTGCTTAATTTGGTCAATTATTATGAGCAAATAATTTGAAATTCATCCATACTTATGTGATAGTTTCAGCATATTCATTTTCACTGCTGTATAGTAGTAGGCCACTAGCTAACAGTGCACCACATACTTTCCCATTCCACTATTGATGGATATTTTAGTTGTTCTAGTACTTTGTCCTTAGGAACCTTAAACATTCTTGTGCACATATCCTGGGACACACATGTGAGAGTCTCTTGAGTTAGAGACCTGGGGGTGGAGTGTATTGATAATTGAAGATGAAATACCTTGAGAGAGGAACGAAAGAGTCAGGTGTCCAGGCTTTTGAGATAGTTCCCAAGGACAGCATCACTATTTACGAAAGTCTCTGGCACAAGGATTGTCCTTCAAGGCCTTCTCATTGATGGTTCATCGGGAATCACTCTAACAGACTTCTGAGAGGGTGTCTCATCCCTCACCCCTCCGCTTCCTTCAACTCCATCTCCACCCTTTGGAGTGAAAAATCAAAACCATGGCCTAGCTTCCATCTGAAACTTTCTCTTTGCCACTACAAAGCCAAAGAGCCAAAATCAATGGTGCTTCCCAAAGAATTAGCCTTTAGAGTGTTTCTATAGTGTCTTCCTCTCCTTCACATTCTCCTTGTATTCTTCCTCCCCTTCCCAGGCTCCCTTACAACCCAGGGTCCTCCTGGTGTTAGGAACTCTAATATCTGGGACTGATTCACGCTAAGATGTGAGCTTACTGCTCCCATAAGCTAGTTGTATTTTAAAGTTGACCAAGTAAGAGGAAATTTCAAATCACAAAGGCATGAGTGCAGATGGTGGTTTATGCTCCAGCCAGACAAAGGGGAATGCAGTTTCTACACTATTATGCAGTGTAGGATATCTTTGTGTTTCTGGCTTGGCTGTCAGTTTCTGCCCTTGTCTAATATTTTGTTCATTCTTTCACAGAAATCTTAGAGAGACTGTCTACCTTTTGTTAAACTGTGTGCTGAAACTGAAACTGAGTCCCTGAACAAGGAGCTGGAATAGGCACAAGCCGGGCATCTTTCTCTCTCATATCCTTCAGCACGGAGTTATTCATGGGTGCAGGGAGGCAACACTTCTCTGTTACAGATAGAAAACAAATCCAGTAATACGGACCACACCCCACCCTGAGTGATATTGTCAAACACACACCTCTGATAGTAACTTTGATGTTTTGCAAAAATGTATCTCTCTGGATCTGCACCTCTTGGCAATGTGACTTAGCAGCTCCTCCCATTAAGAAGTGCAGTCTAGGTCCCCACTACATGAATCTGGGCTAGTATTGTAACTGGCCTTGGCCAATAGAACGTAGAAATGATGATGTGCTGGTTCCAAGCTTCGGCTTCAGGAGCCCTTACAAACTTCCACTCTTATCTCTTGGAACCCTACCCAGCCATGAACATGCTGGGCAAGGGTGCAGGAAGATGAGAGACCACATGGAGCAGAGACAACCTGTCCCATCTGAGGTCATACTAGACTAGCCAACCTGGCAGCTGTCACATGAGTGAGTCCAGTCAAGACAGAAGAACCACATAATTAAAACACAGAAGAATTAGCCCAAACTACCCATTCACAAAATCATAAGCTAAGTAAATTATTGTTGTTTTCAGCTACTAAGTTCAGGGGTGATTGATCACACAATGTTAGTAGCTGAGGAAACACTCTTCAATCCTTCCTCTTGCTCATTGAACTAAGTACAGACCCCTCATTTAGATACCCAAGGCCTTGTACCTCTGACCCCAACCTGACTTGCAGTATCGGATCCCTGACTTCTCCTGCCAGAGATTGCAAACTCTAATGCCTGTTGGGTCCAGGAGGGAACCTAAATGAGTGAGTTGAGCCTGGCAGAGACTTTGAGGAACAGATGAGCTTTGCGAAGAAGGGCAGCTTTCACTCAGCTCCAAGCCTATTTTTATCATGTAGAAATGGGACCCCAAAGTTTCCAGAGCTTTCCATGTTGTCAAAAGAAGCTGGACATTTATATTTTTCTGTAAATTGCCTGTCTTTTTCGAGATTAACATCTAATTAAAAATTATTTTAATGCCATATAGGACAAATAATATGTTAGCCTAGGCACTCCCAGGTTTTAAGAAACCTGTGTCTCCTGAATGTGGCCCATTTGTTCCGAATTTTTACACATTTGCTCTTGGTGTATGCTTTACCTAGGATACACAAACACTTCTATGTGTTACTGCTTCCCACCCCCCCCCAGACTCATCGCAAATCATTCAGCAGTAAACGTGCTGGGCTTTGTTCCAATCACCAAGGAGGCAACAATAAACAAAATACATTTGGAGCTTATAGCCTAGTAATCATCACTGGGGAATAAAATTATGGCTGATTTCTATCCTTTTTATCTTTTATTTATTCTTGATTTCTTTTCTTTTTTTATACCTAGAAGATTTTTAAGTACAAAAAAAGAGTGTAAAAGTATAAACATGGACAAATTGAACATTTAAAATGATTCCTTTCTAGAGTTTATCATCAGGAACTACTATTTTCATCTTTAAAATCTTTTGTTCTCTTTGCTGTAGGAGCTACAACAAAATGCTCCCTTGTAGATTCCTTACACACATTCTGACAGACCCACAGGCAGAGGTGGATTCACTGTGAAACTAACAAAGCTTAATCGTCAGGGCCCCTCACTTGCACAAGATATCTTTCAAAGCCCTATACCTAATTTTTCCCCAACACTTATCAATATAAAAATTTCCAAATACACAGAAAAGTCAGTAGAATTATATTCTGAACACCTGTATACCCACCACCTAAATTCTACAATTAACAATTCACTGTCTCTGTTTTATTACATAGTCATCCATCCATCCATTCCTCTTCCTATCCATTGATCCATCCTTATTTTTTATGCATTTAAAAGAAAATTTCAAACATCAGTACACTTCATTCCTAAGCACTTCAACATTTGTATCATTAACTGCAGTTCAATATTTGTTTATAGGATTTGAGGGGGAGGGGCAAGTAAACTTTCCATGTTGTGAAATTCACAAATCCTAAATATATCATTCAATGAGTTTGACAGATATATACACATGAGTAATCCAAACCCCATCCAAATGATGAATATCACCATCATGCCAGAAAGTTCTATTATGCCCATATAATCAATCCCTCTGCTCTCTCTTGCCTACAATTCTGACTTTTAAACAGTATTTTGGAGGTGTAATTGTCACACAATAAACTACACATATTTGAACTGTGTGATTTGATGTTTTGACATTTGTATTCACCACCACAATCAAGATAATGAATATAACTCCCAAAGCTTCCTCATGCTCCTTAATAATCAGTCCCTTCCAATCCCCCCTTCCCCTAGGAAACCACTAACCTGCTTTCTGTCACTATAGATTAGTTTGCATTTTAAAGTTTTATACAAATGAATTCATATGGTGTGTAATAAATTTGGCTTCTTTCACTCAGAATAATTAGAGATTCATCCATGTAATTACATGTATTGATAATTTGTTCCTTTTTTAAAGTTAAAAGCTATCACAATATATGAGTGTAACAGTATTTATCCATTAATCTGTTGATGAACATTTGAGTTGTTTACAATTTTTGGCTATTGCAAATAAGGCTGCTATGAACTTTCATGTACAAGTGTTTGTTTGAACATGTACTTCTATTTCTCTTGGGTAAATACCTAGAAATGAACATAGGCTAGATCATGTGGTAGGTGTACATTTAACTTTTTAAGAAACTGTCAAACTGTTATCCAGAGTGGTTGTGCTATTTTCCATCCCATTAGCAGTGTATGGAGTGTTCCTCTATATCCTTGTCAGCATTTGGTATGGTCCACCTTTTTAATTTTGGCAGTTCTAATGGGTATGTAATGAGTGGTAGCTCTTTGAGCCTTTAGTTTACATTTTCCTAAGACTAACGATGTTGATCATCCTTTCATTTAATTTGCCATCTATCTACCTTCTTTAGTGAAATGCCCATAGTTTAAGCTGGATTGTTTTGTTTTACTTAATTACTGAGTTTGGGGAGTTCTCTATATAGTCTGGATATAAGTCCTTTATCAGATAAATGATTTGCAAATATTTTCTGCCAGGATGCAGTTTGCCTTTAATTTTCTTAACAGCATCTTTTGAAGAGCATAAGTTTTTAATTTTGAAGTCCAATTTATCCATTTTTGTTTTTAATAAGTCCTGCTTTTGGGAGCATCTAATAAATCTTTGCCTAACCCAAGGCCATAAAGATTTTCTTCTGCTTTCTTCTAGAAATTTTAGAATTTTTACTTAAGTCTGTGATCTGTTTTGAGTTAATTTTTGTATTTGGGGCAAGGTGTGGATTATTATATCTTCAAATATTTTTTCTTCCCTATTCTCTGTCTTTCCTCTCCTTTGATTCCAATTACATAAATGTTAGACCTTTCGACATTATCACACAGATCCCTCAGGGTCTGTTCTTTCTTTTTATTTTTTCATTTCTGCTCTTCAGACTAAATAACTTTTCTTGCTGTATCTTCAGGTTGATTGACTCTTCTTTCCCTCCAACTTTCCATTAAGCTCATCCAGTGAATTTTTCAATTGAGATAATGTATTTTTAAGTTCTAGGATTTCCATTTGGTCCTATTTTTATTGTTTCTCTCTGCTGAGATTTCTTTTGTGTTTCTTCATTACAAGTGTGTTTTCTTTTACATTCTTGACAGTAGTTATAATAGTTGCTTTAAAATCCTTGTCTGCTAAATCCAACATTTAGGTCATTTTGGGGTTGGTCCCACTGATTGCCTTTTCTCTTGATTATGGGTTATGTTTCATGTTTCTTTGTATCTCCAGTCATTTGGAATTTTTCCTGGACATTGTTACTGATAGCTGTAGAGAGTATGGAGTCTGTTATATTTCTTCAAAGAGTCTTTTTTTTTTTAACAGGCAATTAACTTGGCTGGACTTAAACTCCAAACTATGTCTCCCCTTTACTTGGTTATATCTGAAATCTCTGTTCAGTCTTTTGGTCTTAACTGGCTGCTTGAAGTCTGCTCCACATATGCATAATTCAGAGGTCAGATAAAGATTTGGGTAGAGTTATATACAAAATTGGGACTTCTCCTCTCTGACTTTCTCTTTTTCCCTCTTACTCTCCAACTACTATGGTTGCTCCAAACTTTGTCCTCTGATTTTCAACCAAATTAGACTGAGAGTTTCTCTCCAGGTTTTAGCTACTGCAAATGGTGCTAATGGGCCCCTACCCTCAGGCTAAAAGCCATAAAACAAACAAACAAACAAACAAACAAACAACCCAGGAGACTCACCTAGTGCCATTTCTTTCTTCCAATTATAGACCCCTCCTCTAGTTTCTGCCTGCCTTTAGCTGCTTTCCAGTGCCTCCAGGGCTGTTTTTAAAAAAATATTTCATCCAGGGCTTTTGGTTATTGTCCGTTAAAGTATTTGCCTAACAGGAGATAGTTGGCCTTTATTGGAAGTAATTTTGTATATTTACTTTCATAGTCTTTGAGAAGTTCCTCCACATTGTATAAACTTCAGGCCCCGTGAAACCTGCATTCACTCCTGCCTGCAAGGCTACTTCCTGGAGGCTCTTGCTGTATTAGGAGAATGGTGGTAGCATTGAATAAATTCCTGGTACATATCAATGCCTAAAGCATTCCAAAGGGCTGATGCAGAGGGACTTCAGACCAATATTGTTCTGGTTGTTAATATTTGTCAGAGTAGATCTTTCTTTCCCCCCAATCTGCTTTGAACTTCTGTAACATTTTGTGGTTTTCTAGATATGCTGCACATCAAACAGGGACAACTCTTCATTTTGGTCCAGCAGCCTCATTTTGCCATGCAAAAAATGAGGTCCAAAAATGGGCAACACCTTGTGTAAGACATTAGTGATGGTTCGGGGAGGAGAAAAGCCAAGGGTCCTAAAGTCCTATTCTTTGGGGCACTACCATGCTTATCACAGCACTTAATGTTTTATTATGGTCATTTATGGACTATACATCATTTCTCAGACTTTTCCTCTGAGGTCTTCAGGTCTCAGCTTTTATATCAGCACCCTCAGAGAGTCCTTTTTTGAACCCTTCAATTGAAGGCAATTCTAAGAACTTTCCATTCATGTCCCTCTGTTTTATTGTTTTTGTGATACCATATGAAATCACCTTGTTTAATCTTGTTTATTGGTTTATGATCTACCCTCCTTAATAGAATGAAGTCCCATTAGGTCAAGAGTCTACTGTGTCTTACATACTATTTCCATACTGTATAGACCAGAGCCAGGGTTTCAGTAGTTGTCGAATAAAATATTTGTTGACTGAATGAACTAGTAAGAGAGTGAATAATAGTACTCTAATGATAGAGGAAAATTAATGGCTTTCCCCAAAGCCTGGGGATGTGGCTTACCACAAGTGTAAATTTTATTTGGCATCTTTTGTTTAACCTTGAAAATTCTTTCAGATTTTTCATTTAAACTATACATTGAAGTACATAAAAGTAGTTACTCTATCATACTGTACTATCATATAGTTTAGAGGAACACATTAGTTATGTCTTTTGGTGGAGAAAAAAAAGAAAGACATCTATCTAAACAACTCTTCTGTGAAGTAGTGCTTTTTTCCCCAGTCTTTTTACAGATGAGCCAATAGGGACGTTGGTGTTTAAGTCATCATTCATAAAATTGGAAATTTGAATTTCACGCCTAAGATGGAACACAGCCAATACCTTTCCCCTCTAACTATATAAAACTTCTGGAAGTTGGAAACAAGACTACAAATTTCTGGCTTGTGTGTTTACTCTCTCTCCCCTAATTAGTAAATATGGCCGTTAGGTGGATCATGAGTGAATATACCTTCAGAATCATTTAGAAACATTTGTTTTTCACTAAGCAGCCATTTGTGTTGTCCAATTTTTTTTACCATGTCATCTATTACCTATTTTTAATTTAATAAATTTCAAAGAATCACTCAGTATTTGATGATGTACCTATGTATTCATTGACATAAATAATTCAAGATGTATTTTAAGGCTAAAACATCCCATCTGTATCTAAATGTACATGTTTAGACAGATGAAAATTTTACTATTGAAGTTACTAATGACTTCTCTGGATAGAGACATTTTCTTTTTTGCTTCTATATTGTCTAAGTTTTCTGCATGGAACATGTAATTATTTATATAAAGGTGAGAATCACTCAAAATATTTTTCATTCTTCTCCATAATATATGTGTTTGTTTACAAAAGAACAGTCCTTTCTCCTATTAACCTTGCTGTAGCTCTGTAGAAATCCCCTTAGAGGCAACAAAAGGGGGGGGGGAAGTACAAATGCTAATATTGGCTTTGGTGACAGGCTTGGAGAAGGAAAAAATTGAAAAGTCGATTATTTGGATTATCCATGAATTTAAATTATTTATGCTCTCCACTGCTACCAATTCCACTCAAAAGTAGCAGTTCAGCAAATCAAGTTTTGGCAACGTGTAGTCTGGGGTTTTGATTTTTAGGTCTTCCTTCGAAAAGTGGATTTCCTCTTTCAGGCAGATGCTTAAAAAATGTTTTCTGTTCGGTGATATGACTGTTTAGTAGCAGACAATTTGTTGTAATGATTTGGGAATGAAGAGATCGTGTTTGGTAAGACCTTTTGTATGAGCTCTTCAACTCCACGGAGGATACATATGGACTGGATTGTCCTACTCCTCTTTACAGGCTCCGGGATTCAGCGGGAAATATTTTGAAAATATTGGATTAGCTGCCAGCCTTTGGATAAAGATATCTCCTTCACCAAGAGTTAGGGAGAAGCAGCGTGAGGCACAGTTTTAGTATTTTCGTCTTCTTTTCAAAATGGACCAAGAAATCTTTCTCTTACGACTTTTTCCCGCCAGAAAGTTCAAATAAAGTGCGGTAAAACCTTTTCCGCTTTCTTGTTTGGGGGCTGGACAAGAGCTGACGGTCGTGGATTTCTACCAATTGTACGAGGCCTCCTCCCGCGTGGTCCCGCCTGCTCCGTTTACGAAGGAACAGCCAATGAGAGCGCCGCTGTTTCAGCCAGCGGCTACCAAAGGAAGAAGAAGAGAGGGTATTGGCTGTCGGCTGGGACTGCTGCCCAATAGGAGCCGTCCGATCCCGCGCCTCAGGCGGGCAGCTCGAGCTCCTCGGGTAGTTACTGTTGGCCTCTGCCTCGGGCTGGTGTTTCTGAGGAAACGGCCGCTGCTGTGGCGTCTTTGCGAGTTCTTCCGCGTCCTTTCGGCCTCAGGTGAGGGGGGCACTTGCCTCTGGCTCTGGGTTGACTTCCTCGGGCTGGGTCACTAGACGTGGGGTCTGGGGACGCCCCACGAGGTGGGGTGCGGGTGGGCATGGAACCCCGCGGCCTGAGGAGATTCGGCCGCTCCAGCGGCCTCAACGGTCGGGGCTGAGGCGCCCGAACCGCCGCTTTTTCGGGGTTGTTGGGGGTGGGGCTGAGAAAGCCAGAACTTCGCGGCTCCCGGAAGGAGCCAGGTTTGCCGCGGGGAGGGAGCGAGAAGTGCCTCCGGGCCTCTCTCCGGGGAGCCGAGCCTCAGAGTCGTCATCTTACAAATAAGTGCTGTCCCGTGGCGCGCCCCGTACTTGGATTGCTTTCAAGTTGACCCAGGGACCTGGTTTTTTGTTCCATCCGACTTCACCTCACAGCACTGTGAGGGAAATACTTTTACAGACGAACAAGTTGAACAGAGAAGCTAGGAAACTGTCCTGAGGGCCTCCAGGTAGTACGTGGCAGAGCAGGGATTTGAACCCTGGCGGCGCCTCTTAGCCTGGTAATTGGAAACCACCGTCCCGCCGGATGTGGATATTGATTGAAATCGGAATAACAAAGTTTGGTAAGATTACGAGAGGTCTAGGACAAGGCTACTCAAGGCTTGGAGGGACCAGCCGATGGCCTTTTGCTGTAGGCATCCCTGGTCAGCCCGACGTCTGGAAAGATCTATATTCCTCCACATGAATTGGGAAGCTTTGCTCCAGGACCGCGCTGTTCAGAGAACTTTCTATATCTGTGCTATCGCGCTATCAGGTGCCGATGTGTTCTTAGTTGTTGGAGTTTTTTTGGTTGGTTTTGTGATTTGATTTTTTTGTTTGTTTTTTTCGGGTGTATGGTGGGTAATTCACCTGGTATTTGGCATCTGCTATATACTTGTTGCTGTATGGGATACACTGCTGAATCAGACTTAGGATTCGGCTCTCGGCCTTTCACGTCTAGTCAGAACTGGCATATACGGGAAGAAATTTTTGATATTTTAACTTTTTAATATTTAACCAGACTGGAAAGTACAGAGAATAATTTTTTAAAGACCTGTGCATTCACTACTCACATCTGATAAATCTTGACCTTTTGATAGAATTCCTTCCCTTTTAACTTCTTTTTTTAAAAAAAGAAAATTATGTAGTCAAAGTCTCATCTGTACCCTTGCACGCTCCCTCTTCTGAATTTGGTATTTTTTCCGCCCAGGCTTGTTTTGTACCATCTTTTTTTAATATAAAAGCCCATATCATAGCTTGATCTTGTGTATTTTTAAGTATCCTAAAAATGGAATTAATAATGGATTCATCTGTAACCTGCTTTTTTCTATTTGATATAATTTTTTTAGGAAACTTACCAAACTTACTTACTGTTTTGGTTTCTTAGTTGGAAGAGCTTATGGTTCCATCCTGACCAGAAGTTTTGCTTCACTTTCTTCTCCATTTTGAGTTCTCTCATTCTTGTGCTTCAGTTAATCGAATATTCTGGCTTGACCTTTTAATCTTACTGTTTTGGGGGGTGTCTGTTATTTTACCTTCTGAAAGAGTTCCTCGTCTTTATCTTCCAATCCTTCTATTAAAGCATTTTTGTTTGTTTGGGGGGTAATTAGGTTTATTTACTTATTAATTAATTTTTTTTAATTTGATGGAGGTACTGGAGATTGAACCCACGACCTTGTGCATGCTAGGCATGCACTCTACCACTGACCTGTATGCTCCCCCCCCAAAGCATTTATTTTGGCTGTAAATTTTCTAAGAGCTCTTTCTTATTTTCTTTTTTTTTATTGAGTTATAGTCAGTTTACAATGTGTCAATTTCTGGTGTAGAGCACAATTTTTCAGTCATACATGAATATGCACTTACTCATTTTCACGTTCTTTTTCACTCTGAGCTACCATAAGATCTTGTATATATTTCCCTGTGCTATACAGTATAAACTTCATCTAGTCTATATATACCTGTCAGTATCTACAAATTTCGAACTCCCAGTCTGTCCCTTCCCACTCCCCTCCCCCTGGCAACTACAAGTTTTTATTCTATGTCTGTGAGTCTGTTTCTGTTTTATATTTAAGTTCATTTGTCTTTTTTTTTTTTTAGATTCCACATATGAGTGATATGGTATTTT